ACCTGAGTACGGCAGAGTCCTGATTAAAATATGCTTGGATGTAGTTAAAGGTTGTTTTCTAATGCATGTATGTAAGTAGGTTAATTATGATCGCCCGCGGAACACTTGGTGTGTTACACTACCCCACTTCAGAGGGTTTGGCAGAGTAGACAATATTACTGTGCTGTTTACCACTTAGAGCTTCCTAGGTTTAAATCAATTATCTTCATAGATCACTTTTGAATATTGATTATATGGATACAATAATCTTCTCAGGGTTGAAGTTACCTTCAGTTAGGTGTTTTATTTCTTTGGCATACACTTCTGCATTTCAGTCAAAATTAGAACTGCTGGCACTGGTCTTTTTTATTACATTGAATAGTCAGTAAAGGAGACATGGGAGGTACTTTTCCAGTGAGTGTTGTTTGCTGACAGCATTTTTTGTGATTTGGTTACCAGCTTCAACTTCAGGTCTTCTCCAGCCATTACTGGCTCCGTCACTGCTCTCATTTCTGATTTGTCCCTTGTCATGGCTTATTTCTGACATTTACCTTTCTTGAGTCCTGATTCCAAAATCTGTCTAGGTCTGGTTCCAGTGTCTTGTCCTTGTGTGGTGGTGTTCTCTCCTGTGTCTCTACCCCTCCTGTTTCAGAACAGGATGAGTTGAAAGTACTGTGAAAAAGGTGCCTTATTTTTGTTCTAACTGGCACTGTAATACTAAAACAGCATGCTCCACAAATTTATTTAACTACCCCTGTGTAAGACAGATGTGTTGAGAGAATTTATCTCTGTCCTTGTTGAATGAATATACATGAGGAAGGTTTTCAAAAGCCTCTTGCTTGTCTTTGTCCATTTGGATGGATCTGTACAAGAGCAATAATACAAGGTACAAACTGATACTCAGGCCTTCTGCCACATTTCAATACCAATTTGCATAGATGAGTTGCAGCTAATATTTTCTTAAATTGACATAGAATATTCTGCTCTAACATTGTTTTAGAAATATTTCAGTCATTTCTTCAGAAATTTCCCCAAATTTCCATAGGTAGTTGTAAAGGTAAACTCAATTTTAGCAAATACTTAATTGGGGTAGCTGAGAAGGTAAACTTAATTTTAACAAATACTTTAGCAGCTGGAAACAGGAACTTATAAGGGCAAATAATGAGCCACAAAAGGCTTATGACTCTGTCAGTACTGTGTCTCAGCTTGGTGCAGGGCTTTTTTTAATGTTGTTTTAAAATATTCATAAGTAGAATTTGTTGTACAATAATAGGATAATTGTATGCCATTAAAATTACACTATTTTCAGTCTTAATGTAGAGGACTGCAGTGCTTAAAAGTTGGAATTTCAGACATATATTAGGTTTAATTTAAATTTTAAACATAGCTTTTTGGTCCTCTGTAGGATTGTCTCAGTGTTCACTAACTTTAGTTGGAGCTGTTTTCGGTCACAGGCAAGTACAAAAACGTAGACTGTAAAATGCTCAAATTTCAGATTATTAAGGAGGTTTATTTGCAATAATGTGAGTGTATCAAAACTAATCTTGGCAGTGTCTATTCAGACATTTGAAATGGGTTACACCCATCTTTTGGCTGCAGTATCTTAGTTCTTAGGAGTGAAGTATATTTACAGGGATGATGCAGTTTCTCTGTTGCTGCATCATCTGTTTCAAATGGCTTGTTACCCACATGTTCATTCCTACATGCTGGTTGCTGCCTTTTGAAAGTTGTAGTCCTGCACCATAAAATGCTGTTTTTTCTGCAGACAAGGAAATATTTTGCAGCTGCCATAAATGTCTCAGCCACTGACTTTCAGGCATCAAGAATGAAGCTTTGAATGATCAAGTCTTGAGGAAATGTTTGCTAGTTTGGTTAAGGACTACAACACAATACTGTCATTTTAAGAAATACTAATAAAACCAAACGCTTCGATAAAACATTTAAAATTCTTTTTTTCTAGGGTAGAAGTATTTTTTGTAAATACTGCATCTGAAAAGTGTGGTCTGTACTGGAGTAGGACAGGTCCATCTGGGACAATATCCTGTCATGCAGAAAGAAAGGCTAGGTAAGGAAGAGAGGTTTTTGAGTAGGACAGTGAAACCTGACTAGAGCATCTTCCCAGCCCCTAAAAATGCACAGTGCATTTCCTGAGCTGTAAGTGGTGTCAGTGCATGTAACAGGATTGATAAGCATTCATGAAAGAAAAGAATTGCTTTCTGAACCCTGTGTAACCATAACATTTCATTGCAGGAGTTATCATGACCTGAATTTACTCTCTGTAAAGAGACACTTCTTGTGATGATTTTGCATCTGTCATACAGTAATTTAATTTTCTATAGAAAAGTCAGTGAAGCATCTTTCATCCTTGTATTGTTCAGAACACTACAGCCAGAGTACTTGAGACAGCAGTTTATTCAAAACATTGCAAGCTCTCATGAACTTTTTGGAGTGCAATGTAACTGTCCACATCCTGTCTATATGACTAATAAGTGTGCAGTTCCATATCAAATTTTTGAAGCACTTTTTTTGTTCTGATATTAAGCAACTGTTGCTTCTGGATCCTCTTTTCAGCCAGTTGTGCTATGCAGATTGCAGCATAGCTCTGATCAAAGGCATTGGTTTATTCTAAAGAATACTTTAAAATAAAATATGTAACTAGGTTGATGGTTTCTTGCAGTTGAGACAGCAACTGTTTCAAAAGAACAACATTATTAAGTTCGATAGAACTGGTGATGGACTTTTAACTACAAATGTGCTGCCAAGCTGTGTGGCAGTGATTGCTTTGTATAATACATTTTTAAAAATTATTTCACATAGCTTAATTTAATCTGTTTGTTGTCAGGCTTTATCATTTGTAGGAAGTTTGGAGTGTTGGTTTATTTTTCCCTAGCTCTAGTTACTGACCTACTTGTCTGTTTTATAAATAAAAATAGTTTTCCTCTTTTACAGTCAGTCTACCTGTGTGACCTACAACATAGTTTTTACTTAATAATTTTTCCAATTTTCAAATTTTTTCTATATTATCTTGGAGACTTTTGTATGAATTTCATATTAGAGCAGGAAGGCCAAATGGTGCAAATGTAATTAGGATAAGCAGATGGGATATTTTAGAAGGTAGTAAAATATAAACAGAATGAGGAGCTCTGATACTGAACAGCATGCTTGCTGTCAAACATCCAGTTAATTTACTTGTTAAAAGCTGGAATGTAGGCTGGCTGTTTGTGATACTTCCTTTTCCTCTCTTAAAGGGAACTCAAAAGTGTAATTTGATTGACCCAGTTTATCTTGTCATTTTAAACTAGATGAAATTGAAAATACAAATATTAATTTCCTTCAAAGGCGCTGAATAATCCATTTCAATTGTTAAAACCTGTATTTAGTAACTACATCACTTTAAATTTTATTTCAGCAAGTTCTTATTGTAGATTTAATTTTAATCTTTTTAGTTTCTAGGAGTAAAATATGTTAGAGATGTTGTATTACTTCTGTTGAGTCAGATAACATTAAGTAGACATATGTTTCACTTGAATGTGCTGTGATACAGCTGTGGAAAGATAATTCTATTGTATTACTATAGAATACTGTTGCAATGCATATTTACTTTACTATTCAGTAGCTCTTTAGCACATTAAGTCATTCTAAATTCTTCCATGTGAATTGCATTGGCAATTGCAATTCACATGGAAGAATTTTTTTAAACTGGATTGGCAGCTCTGCTGGTACATTTTACCACCTTTTGACTGTTTTGTAAAAATCTGCTTTGTCATGTCACATGCTGTTTTGACTTAAACTTCATTATCTTTACATATTTTACTAATTTGTGGTATCTCCTTGATTGTAGTTTGTCTGATGGCATAGTGCTTGTATTGTCATTTTATTCAGTGTTTCCACTTTAGTCCTCATTTTGAGGACCTCACTGAATTCTTACTCTGAATTTCAAGAGTATGCTCAAGTCCACTACAGACTTATGTCTACTTAGAGTACGTTTGCTAACCTTGCAGAAATTCACTAATTGACATATAAATAGAAGAGAAATGCCAGCTCTTTGGTACTGAGAGAAAAGCTGGCTGCTTGCTTTTGATTTTCTTTAGCTTCCCTTTCAATGAATACAGTGTGGTTATGAATGAATGAAATAATTGCTTTGGCTTGCATTTTCTTTAGGAGAGATTTGGAATACTCTTAAAGCTTTTTTCAACTGCTAGCCATTGAATTGCTCTGAAGAGAAATTTAACCATATTTTTGTCCAGTTTCAAGTAAATCATATTGTGTGAAGAAGTTTTCTGTAAAAGATTTTGTCCATTTTTATGACATTTTAAATAGCTATGAGTTTTCTCTTCTATTTTATGGAATATGTTGGATCTTTTATTGATAAATAATAGTAAAGTTTTGTAGGAATGCTTCTTTTGGATTTCATACTTATAGATAATTTGTTCTAATTTGTTCATTTTGTTCTGCTTTGTTTGCAATACTAAATGCACCCAGTTAAATTTCCAATAGATGTTTTATCCTGTAAAACTGAGATTAAATAAGCAAAAGTTCAATTAATTTAATGGAACTGGTGCTGTACAAAGGACTTGAGCTTAAAATCAGTTGAGGTAGTTCTTTTTCACAGGAAAATGTAATGACACACGTGCAAGTTACTTGCTGTATTTCGTGAATGTTTGCCACAGAACTGTTTGTTAGTTGTGATAGTGAAGCATTATTGTAGCAATTATCTTGATAATCAGTGGTCAAATGCTAAAAGCTTTCTGACAACTTGACATACGACTTTGGCATTAGCTAGCTGCTTGTTCCTTTTGCAGAAGGTTACCAATTAAATCTGCCCAATTGCAAGGAGCAGAGCCTGAGAGTATGCAAATCTGAAGCTTCTTGCTTCCTGTGATTGCTGGATTCAGTACATGCTATTGAGAATGCTGTATTTTCAGAGGCTTTTTGTATTCTGCTCACAGTGTTTGCTGAGCAGAAACTGTAGCTAAAAATAACTAAAATGAATTTCTCTGTCTCTTTCTTTCTCACTGCAGGATGACGTAGCTTTGCCAAGGATTTATCAGCTAAGCAGAAAATGAGCTTAACATCCTGGTTTTTGGTGAGCAGTGGAGGCACCCGGCATAGGCTGCCACGAGAAATGATTTTTGTTGGAAGAGATGACTGTGAGCTGATGTTACAGGTAATTGCTTCAGCCTTCCATGTGCAGCTGCTCAAATCATGAACTTAATGCCCCAGCTTCATGCATTCCTTTTGAAAAAGAAATTCCCCAGATGTTGGGGAGCAATTGTTTTGAAGAATCTTTTGTGTCCTTAGGCAAAAAAAAAAAAGTTTAAATTTATTTCCATCAATCGTGCAGTTACTGCTTAAGTACAGAGAATCACATTTTCTTCATCTAAATCAAATGCAGAATGCAAAGATAGAAGGTGAAATACATTTTACAATATGACCAGTAAAGTAAGTAGACTGTGTTCCATAAAATGTGATAATGTTAAGAGAGCTGGATGCTTTTGAAAGGAGCCTTCTTTTTTTGGCAGTTTGTAATCTAATTTAGTCACATGATTTGATGTAATTCTATCCCCATGCCCTGATTGTGTTGTACAAAGGAAAATGAAATTTGTAGAGAAGAGTATTTCTCTGTTTCTGAGGAAGTTGAATGACTCAGTTTAAATAGAATTGAAAATACACAAGTCAAAATAGCTTGATCCTTCAGTAACTTCCTCAACTCTGTGGAGCTCTTAGATGAGTGTAGCTGTGTTGTTATGTAGCCATATTGCTTGCACTTTGCCCTATCAAAGCTGTAGTTCTCTGACCTGCCTTTTTTCTAATTTTTTTTTTTAATGACTGATGGTAATATTTTGGGAATTTCTTCTTAAATTTTTGTTGTTTAGTGTAGAGCTCTTAAGAAGATTGAACTTAAAACAATATTCTCAACACTTCCTACCATTCAATAAAATACTTTGTTTTGGAGTTTTTGTTCCCAAAAGTTGTATATGCAGTCATTATTGGCCAAATTAGAGTCTTAGTTGCAAATGAAGTGCTTAGAGATGTAATTCTACATTTATTACTCAGAATGTAGTATCTCTAGTAAATTGCATTTGGCTCTCAGCCTCAGAAGGCATTGAGATATTTTATTGGTGATATTAGAAAGCACTTGGCAGTACTCTTAATTTCTCTTTAAAAACAGATAGGATGATGTCTTGGTAATTTATGTGGGAAAAAAACCCCAAATAAACAAGTGCACAGATAAATCCACCAACATCCAAAACAACAATGAAAGGAAAGCAACCAAAAAGCCCAACTCCACTGGTTCCTGCCCAGTAGCTTATAATCCAAAAATGGTTTTATTTTACCAGTAACTTGTTTTAGAGGACTGTTTTCTGTAAATAAGAGAGCATCTTCTTTCTTCTCTGCTATGCCATCCATAGTAGATCAGTCCTTAGAGTGAAACATTTATTCTTTTGTGTTACAGAACTTCACCTTCAAAGGTAGCTGCCTCTTTGATTAATACTGTGAATAGATTTGATTTATTTACAAACATCATTTGTTGTGTATTTACTTCAGAGTTAGTGAAAAAAATCAAGGGGCATGGGATTTCAAGAAGATTCTTTTTAGCCTGCTGCTATGTTAGGTCTACATGCCAGCATGACTGTAACACCACATAGTGCTGCAGGGGGAGGAACCCATCAAGAGAGAAGCTAATAATGTGTTCTTGTTCTGTGTGTGTAGCTCTTTGTGCTAGACCTTCTTCTCCACTCTTGACAACTTGGTTGTTCTCTTACTGCAAAGCATGTGGACAATGCATGATTAAGAAAGCAGAATTTAATGCTTTTATTCATAATTGCTTGACAGAAAACATATTATAAAGGCCTTAATGAAAAGAATTTTGACTCTGTTTCATGCTTGATAGACCTCAGATCTCTACCTGTAAACACTGTTGTTCTAAAAGGTTTAGTTCACATCTGGGAATACAGATCTGCCTTTTTTTGTAAATATGTTCAAAAAGTCTTCCTGTTTAGCTAGCTGTTCCATTACACCAGCCTGCTCATGTGTAAATACTACATTTCCCCCTTCTTTCACCTTATGGTTAGAAATCTTTTTGAATATTGTTGAAGAAATTATCTCCAAGAAAAGAAATCTACATTATTCACAATATCAGAATTGTTTGCAAAGAAGAATGCATTTATTTTGTGTATTCTGAATATTTTCTTAGAAGTCTGGATTGAATTGAAGAGTATCTAAAATAACACCAGTTACAAATTTATTTTAACTGGGGATGGAGTTTTCATATTCATATGGCTTTTACTGCAGTTATTCTGTGATTCTTATTTCTGCAGACATATATAAATCTTTGTGCTGGATCTGGCTGGTTGGTAGGGTTTTTTTTAATAGAAGCCATTATGTACTGTTTTGGATTTGTGACCAGAACCCTGTTGATAGCACACCACCACTCTTTTGGCTGTTGCTGAACAGTCATGCTGGCATGTAGACCAGCATGTGTGCAGTTCCAAGGCATTCTCTCTCACTCTGCTCCTCCTACACACCCTTGACTGGGGGAGTGCACAAAATGTGAAGGAGCACAAACGACGACAGCTGACCCAAACTGACCAAAGGGTTATTCTGTGACAAATAATGTGTTGTGCTTGGCAGTGAAATCTGAGGAAGGGGCTTTGGGGAAGATAACCACTACTCAAAGATTGTCTGGGCACTGGGCTGCTTGTGTTAGGTGGCAAGTGATTGCCTTCTCATCACTTGATTTGTTTTACTTCTTCTTCCTTCTTCCCCTTTGCTGCTGAAACTGACCCATAAGTTCTTTCCTTTGGCTCTTCCTCTTCTGTCCCACATCCCGCTGGGGCAGCAGAGAGTGAGCGAGCAGCTGTGCGGCATTTAGCTGCCAACCAGGGCACCACAGTCCTACAAGAAGGAATTTTAAAAGCCCTTCAATTTGAATGGAAGGCTGCAATAACAAAGCCAAAGGAAAAAAGGCATCCAAAAGACTTGCACTGTCTTTGCACCTGCAAAGATCAGCTGAAACTAGTAAAAAGTCTAATTATATGTAAGTAATTTGAACCTGAGGAGAACTGTGAAGTTCTGCGGAATTTCAAGTGTTTCTGTAAAAACCAAAGACTTGAGTAATCATTCTTAGCATTTCAGATGATGTAACACAGTATAATGATGCTTTGAGGATTTTTTTTCTTGTCCTTTCTGTTTTAACTTATTTTTAATAGGATGTAGCACATAAAGATAATTAAATAAATTTTTATTAATACAGTATATATTTGAATAACAACATTGAGAGTTGTTAAAAATTTTCTTCAATAGCTTAGGTGAAAAAATAGGGTAATTCTTGGTGCAGTGGTTCCACTTGAGTGTGGAAAAATGTAATGTGTGCTTGATACTGTAGGCTCAGCAGAACATGCACATCAATGGATTTCATTGTATTGAGATTGTTTTCACTTGAAAGATTACTAAGTTAGTAGAAAATGAACCGTGTTGCTGTGTCTTCATCTGCCATTAAAAGCATTTAACTGATGTAGTATATTAGTGCAGCTTATATTGCAGGCAGCTTGTTCATTTGTGTGTCTCTTCCTTATTCTGCACTTTGATACCCTGCCCCCTCCCATTATATCCCTCAAAAATGTAGAGCAAAATAAAAAGTCTAAATATAAAGTAGTAAGTATAAGCAGGAGAACAGTGATCTCACTTCTTTGGGGAGAAAGCAAAGTGGTCATAAGATTAAATGGACAGGAAGAATGAGAAAGTAAATTGGAAATAAGGAAAATAATAGTAGCAAGTCTCAGGAAATGGAAAAGGAGTGAGCTGATAACTATGGGATTACAATAAGAGAAAACATTTCCTTAGGAGTAGTGGTTGTGTGTTCTGATGCCTTGCACTGGCCAGTGCACTTGGTAAGGCAGGTCTGTCCTAGAACTTACAGACCACAAATGCTGGTACACAGAAGTCATGGAAGTCTCAGACAGAAATGTGCATTCTCTGTGCAATACAGTCCTGAAAAATGAGTTGAGTAGCAAAGATAGAAGATGCAAACCTGAAATTCGGAGCTATGCTGGTGGAAGGAATTTGCTGCTGTGCAGTCATTTTGTGACAGTGCACTAGCAGAATTAAGAGCAAACGTAAGATCAAGTTGGGCTGATGGAGAGGATGAGCTGTGGTCTCCACTCTCTTGGGAGCTCTTGAAGATGTACTGACCATATGCTTGCATGAAGGAGACACATCCAGCCCCACCTCCCTCGCTTGCCATCAGCACCTCAGGCTGCAAACACTTGGCAAGGAGTGAGTCCTGAAAGAGGGAGTTGGCTGTTAGGGAGCTGCTGTTCTTGGATGAAATAGTAGCCAGGCTTGTTCCTCATCTGTGTGGTGATGTTTGTATGTGAAATAAAAAATTCATGAAAAAAATAGATGGATTCTGAAGTGCTTAAGGGAGGACTGAGAAAGTCAGACCTGATGGGAATAGTAATTCAGGAACTGCTCAGACATTTAGTGAAGAGACTTTAGCTAATTGGTTCAGGAAGTTGAGATCAAGGAGAAACACTTGGAATGCTTGTATACTACAGTAATTATCCCCAGATGTGTAACAGGAATTGGAGTTTGAGAGAGAACAGCAACACCCCGGAATCATAGTCATGTCTTGAAAGATGCGTGTAATTAAGGGGGGAGAGAGAGTGTAAGAAATAAAGTGCAGATGATAATATTAGGTTAAACATCAGTGATCCTAGACTAAAAAAAAAATAAGACCTTTGGATGAGGTATATCTGGATCTGACTTACCATATTTAGGGAAACATTAAGAAAATAATTATTTTGAATTAAATTTAGGATTCTGCTATGGGTAGCTGGAGTTGGGTTAGATATTATCCTTTTCGTATGTGGAACTGTCTTTTTAATATAATTTGAATAAATATGCCATGTAAAAAGAAAATAATCACACTTCTCTAAGAAATAGCCATAACCACCTCATGCAGTTTTCAAATATCTTATTTTCTTTAATATATTTTAGTCACGGAGTGTGGACAAGCAACATGCTGTACTCAACTATGATGCCTCTACAGATGAACACTTGGTGAAGGATTTGGGCAGCTTGAATGGGGTAAGTTAACATCAGAAATAGATAGCTCCCCATAGTGTTATGTATCTTTGTTTTGGGATTTCTTCGAGCCAATATTAATTGTACATTAATACCTTTTTAATGTGAGTCTGGAAATGGGGGAGCATTCAAAAGGAAAGTGTAGTCTTTGCAGGGGTTTTCCACTGCATGTTTTATAAAGGGCTGCTGTTAATTCCAGAAATAAGAGGGCTTTGGCAGTAGGAAAAGCTCAGAACAATAGAAAGGAGTGTGTTATACTTATGTATTTCAGAATTTAAAAAAAAATCTTGACTATAATGTCTAAAAGCCCTGACATATTTCAATTTCTAAAATGTGCTATTATGATATGGATTTTTTTTCACATGCTATTCCTTTTTCTTCTGTTACAATACAGAAAAGAATGTTAAACTGTATTTCTACTGTACATATGTGGAAAAAAATAATTATGCAATAACCATGTATGAAAATCAATTTAACTAATACTGTATTTGCATTTAGTTTTTCAGAATAATTTTTATTAAAAATCTCTATGAATAATTTGTGTCAAGTAATTGCAACTAATACCAGAGAAATCCAAGGTTATGAGAAATGTAAAGTTTTGGATGACATTTTATGTTCTAAGGCTTTTCTATGAAGTGCATATTCAGAAGTCTAGCTAAGCATCACTTTTGATAAAAGTTTTTGATATTACAGCAAATTATTAAAAATAGTAACTTTGTTATCATTTTGTAGCCCTTTAGATACTTCTTTATCACCTCTGTATTTGCACTAGTTATGGTTGTTATTTTATAACTTTAAATGTTTGGCTGTGTCATGAATATGTACAGAATAAAATCATTAATTTATCTGTGACTGCCTATTTGAATAATACTTAGAAAGCTACTGATAGTAAATAGTTTTGTCAAGTGCTTAAATAAATACAAGATGAACTCTCAGGTTACTACCTTTTGATCTTGAAGTGCATTTTGAAATAAAACTCTTTCACTGTCTCTATTAGTCTTTCTGTATTTTAAGGTAACTAACTCAGTTTTCCAAAGAGTCAGTCTTGACTCCACGTGAAACCATTCAAGGGCTATATCCTTTGAACAGTTGTAGACATACAAGGACTTTGGTCCTTAAATATTTAATATACCCCTGTATTTTCAAAGTTGGTATGCTGTTTTAAGGCAGTGATCAAAAATAAGTTCAGCACATGGAATTTTTTTGCTGAGACATTGGATTTTATTCCCTAGTTGTGTAACTCCTGTAGTCAGTAGGCATACCTTCAGATTTTTGTTGCCTTGTCACAAAACTGGAATTCAATAGAAATATATGTTAAAAGGTCTTCATTCAGCTCCTTTTTTTGCCTCTGATAAAGAGCTTTCAGCGATTTGCTTCACTTGATCTAATTCATTCTCAAGTTTGAGGTGAAGCTTCATTTGCTTCAGAGCTGTTTACTCAGAGACATCAAAGGAGTTCTTTCTTCCCACTGTTTTGGGACAAGGAATATTAAATCTCAGACTTCAGTCCTTTTTCTTTGTCTTCACAGTGTTTTCCTTACTGTCACTTTCCCACTGTGCTTTTCTTTCATACCTCTGCTTACCTGGTTTCAGGTTAATGGAGAAAACACTTTTTTGTAACACCATACTTAATTGTGTGGCAGAACAATGGCTCAGTACCATATGGTGAACTAGGTAATAATTCTTTTAGTCTAGCTGCTGTTTCTACTGAGAACACCACCTCCCTAGCAGCCAAGTGCCTCTTCTAGTGCTTCAGCAGCTGCTACCCTGTCTTATTTTGCAAACTTCATGGAAAGATTTATTTTGCATCTCTCCAGTTGGTCCCATCTCTTTTGAGAACAGATACATACCTTTCTTGGTATAAAGGATTAGTCCATTCCCAGTAGAATGCACTTTAAAAACACATGATAATTCAGAGTTTAAGGGGAGGTGGCTAGTGCCTATATTTTGGTTTTGAGTGTTCTGAGTGTTATAATTTCACAAACTGAACTATGATTGCACCTGATGCCCTAATGCCTGAATATTCTTATATGTGTGGTTGATCACACTCAGTTCAGTGAAAAGGTTACAGGAGTCTTTCTCATGGACTTCCAAATCTAAGAAGTCTTTATCCTGGACATCTAGATTTGGAAAAAAAGGCAAAAGTAAATTTTAATCGGTTTTACATCAAGTAAAATTGTATTTCTGATAGTTTGTTGTGACTCATTCTGTACACTTCTGTTTTTCTTTTTTTTTTTCCATACAAAAACAATGAAGGAATTTTTCTTTTCTGAAGCAAATGTGTGCAGTTGCTAGTATGTAATTAGTATTTCCCTAGTATCAGTAGAATTCAAGTGTGAACTTGTGAACTCAAAAACATACCAGAAGAAGTATTAACAATCTGTGGCCCTGTTGAGTAACATTCTTCTCAGGAGTATTTACAGGATAGCAACTGATGTTTCAGGACTGGATTCTGAAAAGCTTAGCAAACTTTATGAAGGCTTAAAGACAGATGGCTCTCACTATTTCAAGAATAAACTTTAGAAATCACATGAATGGAGTGATTTAAAGGGGTAAAGGATTCTTTATTTACAGAGTAACTAGATTTTTCAAGCTAGCTTTGTCTGGCATCCCAAAGCATGTGATGAGATTTTAAAGCTCCAGTGGCAGAGTAACCAAGACTTGGTTGTTTTATGCTGTCACTTCAGTCCTGAGCACGAGGCTGTCAGTAAACTGCACACACAGGTCACACACAGCCTTTGGAGCTCTCTGCATTGGCTATGCTGTGTATGCACATGAATTTCAGAACTCTGACCTGGGAGGAAAAATGGATACATACATATAGACATAGATCTCTGCAAGGTGGCCTAAATTCTGTTGGTTCACTGAAATTCAGAGTGCCATGATGATAGTCCTCACAGAGGTTTATGCCCGGGACTCTCAAAATGTTAAAGTGAAATAAATTTGCCTGAAACCTTACTGGAAGTTTCATGCTTACAAACCAGTGACTAGTTGTACCTTTTGTTCTTATTTCCCATGGAAGATATTTTTTACAAAGTAGGTAAACAGTTTTTAAAATAATGAAATAAACATTCTTTTCCTTTCGGAAAAGAAAATTAAATGGAAGATCCTCTTACTATTTTGGGGAAGGAGATTGTTTCTCTCTAATCACAGTTCATTTAATACTAGACTCATGAGAAACACAACCATTCAAATATTCAGATTTTTGGCTTATTTAATTATTCAGGTTTTTCCAACTTCAGAGTGCTAATAAAATGGTATATTTCAACTGTTTCTTTCTTTAGAAACATGTGCATGTTGTAGAAGTTTTAAGTTAGAAGTAGGATGATCCTGTACGGTCGCAATATACTGAATTCTTACCACTCATTTTTGGTGTTACTCAGATGCACAAACTTGGTCCATGTTTTCTTAGGTCCTTTGACAATTATTAGAAGTAAGCTGCCTCAGAACTCTCATATCCAATGCTAAATGCTGTACAAATACGATGATAAGTCAATTCTGGCATTTAATTTGGATTGAAAAAAGCAAAAGACAAGAAAAATAGGAAGGAGGTGCTAATTCAAGGGAACTTTAATCAACACTTCCGTGAATATTGCTAACAAGATGAAACATGCAAGGAATTTTTCAAGGCCAGTGTGCGTCTTGGTAATCAACTGGTGTTTTACCTTCCTTTTGACATGGTTTGTTAAACAGCTGGCAATTTGAGCTTATGGTTTCCTTGTGAATCACCAGTAGAAAATTTGTGGTGCTGAAGACTTTCTTATAGAATTATTTAATTTTGTTGTTTTGGAATTTAATGGTATTTCTTTCTGTCCTCATTTGTTCTGCAGACATTTGTGAATGATGTGAGGATTCCAGAACAGACATACATCACTCTGAAGTTAGAAGATAAATTGAGATTTGGATATGATATCCTTGCCATAAAAATGCAGTGTCAGGATGGACTTGTCTTGTTTAGAAGTATGGTTGTGTTGAGTGTTCTCATTGCTACAAAAATGCCTATATAAGAGAAAATCTCAGGGTTTAGGATATTCTACCTTGGTCTGGACTACTGATAAAGTACATTTCATTGTCTCTCACTGCAAGAAACCTCAACTTTCAATTATGATTTAGAACATAATGTGTATCTTCTGTGTTGCTAAAGAGTACTACTTTTCTTTGAGGCAAGTATATAAATATTTGTATCATATGCAGCTGTATACCAGCAGATATGATTACAATTAAATATTCAGCAAACTACTGAATGAAAAAAAATACTTTTATTATTAAAACACCAAGGTATCCACTCAATATTCTGTTTACATATAGTAAATAACTCCATTTGCTTTGATGAATATGATAGTGCACAGTATCCTAACAGTGACATGTTTTGAAAGCTGTCACCATTCTAGTGGCATAATAGACTGCACAATTGTTACTTTTCTGTAAAATCCTCTTGTGAATTCAGAGTTTTTTAAGTATTTTCCTTATCATTTCCTACATACTAATCTTTTTACTGTGGTCAGGGGAGAGATGAGAGTCCCCGAAGAAGCACTTAAGGTAACAATGTGCAGTTCCTTGATGTTTTGTTGTCATTGTACAGTTATTATAACATAGAGAGGTTTTTTTTTCCCACTCTTTGAGGGTTTGTGTTTTATTCTCTATTTGATGTCATGTAGCATGAAAAATTCTCAAGCCAACTCCAGTTATCCCAAAAATCTTCAGAGGCAGAAGGATCGAAACAAAGCAGCTCCAAAAGTTCAGAATCCAAGGTAGCAGACTCCGCAGCTGAAGTCCACCACAAAACTACAGAAGCACTGAAATCTGAAGAAAAATCAGTGGGTAAGGTTCATTTTTTTGTTGTAGAAGCACAAAAACTTGGAAAGGATGTTAATTTGCTTCAGTAGCACGATTGTGAAATTCTGTAGACAGTAAGAATTTCACATATATGAACATTTAACCATAGTTAGATGTAAATAATGTTTTGGCAGTTAATTTCTACCTTTTTTATAGTAACATCCACATGTTAAGAACATTTTTAAAGAGAGACTTGATTGGCATTTGTAATATTTTTGCATGTCTCTTTGCCCAAATCACAAACTTGTAGCATTTGTGGCCGAAAATTTCTATTTTTTTGCATTTTAAGTGAAAGTGTTTGTTCAGTTTGTACTTTTTACCATTACCAAGTGCACTAATTTTCTTTTGGTTGGTTTGGGGTTTTTTCCCTTTTTAAATGGGCGGGAGTTCTGTTTGTTTGTTTTACAGTTCCTCGCATTCTTTGTTTGATGTGTCAGGATATAACCCCAGTGTTCTATTGTGGTTTAAAGATTTGTAGATATTGTAGTTTCAGCCTTGTTTCTACACCATCATTCCTATTTATTTAATGTGTCATGGTGGCTCTGCTGTGGTTATCTTAACTTTGTGTGGGTTGTGTTGCCCCCAGTATGGGAAGGGTTTGGATGTGTTGGATAAGGCCAGAGGAGGGCCAAAAAGATGAACAGGGAGTTGGAGCAGACAGGCTGTGAGATGGAGTTGTTCAGCCTAGAGAAGGAAAGGCTCCAGGGAGACCTCATAGCAGCCTTTCAGTACCTAAAGGGAGCTGGTAAAAAAAGAGGGAGAGTGTATTTTACACAGGCAGCTAGTGATAAAAGACCAGGCCTGATGGTGTTAAACTGAGAGAGGACAGGTTTTGATTGGATGTTAGGAAGAAATTTTTTACTGTGAAAATAGTGAGCCACTTGAACAGGTTGTCCAGAGAGTTTGTGGATGTCCCATCCCTGGAGGTATTCAAGGCTTTGAGCAAACTGGTCTGGCAAAAGATGTTCCTGCCTATGGCAGGTCCCTTCCAACCCAAACCATTCTCTGATTCTCTGATGAGCTTCAGCATGAGGCTTGCTGAAGTGTAGTGGATATAACCAAAAGAATGAGAAAGGGATCAGGTATTGTTGTTTCCTTAATATGGAACTGTCTAGGTCTGATTTCCAACCTGATCAATGCTCAACAGTTTTGTTTAGGTTTCATCTATTCTTCCAGAAGACACACTTCAAAGAATTCTCTTCCCCATGTACAGGATTCTGTGGTATACTTAATTACCCTGTTTGTTTTGTTGGCTAATCCAGCATCTTCTTAAGGGTACATAAAGTAGCACAGGGGGGGGGGATTATCCTCACCTTCTGTTTTTCTTTTCACTCTTCCAAAAATAACAGGGATAGGGATTTATATTTGAGTGCAACTCTCCAAAGCTTTTTGGGGATTGATTCTCTCACTGTTGCTATATAAATGCACATCTACTCATTATTGTATTGCTAATTCAGTGCACAGGAATAGCATTATGGGATGGTTTGGGTTGGAACAGAACTTAAACATCACTTAGATTGCACCCCCTTGCCATGGCCAGGGACACCTTTCACCAAACCAGGTTGCTCAAAGCCTCATCCAACGTGTCCTGGAACACTTCAGGGATGGGGCATCCACAAATTCTCTGTGTAACCATCAAGTTTTTTTAAAAAAATTAATATTGACTAAGGCATAATGCTGTGTAAAAAGGAAGTACCTAATGTCTTAAAATCATGTTCAAACCTTTGGCATGGCTATGAAGTCATCTTTGGAATGCAAGTGTATAAAATACTGAAAAATGTTGACATTCCTAATCGGAAAAGTCACAGACAAGCGCCTAAGGTAGATTTTAACATACGATGTTTTATTATATAAAGACTCTTTCAAATACATCCAGAACATCTGTATGACACTAGAATAGCTAAATCTCTGTAGGCTGAAGTATTCGTCCAAAAGATCAGGTCAAACCTAACCCAGCCAATTTACCATCAGGTTAGAAATCTCAATTATATCAGTGGTTTTTTTCTTACTCAATTTTTGTATTTAAATCTATTTAACCATGTGCTATAGCACTTTTAGTTGTACTGTAATTTAACTAATGCCTTCAAAAAAAAAAAAAACAACCTGTAAAATTGATTGTGGTCAGTGATGTTTTACACACAAGGAAACTTTCAGCACTCTGTAGTAGCTGTCAGCAATTTGGAACCTTGGCAGCATTGCAAAATTTGATCAGTTTTTCATGCAGTGAGTTCAGATTTCATTGAAAGGTCAGTGTGGGTAAGAATGAGAACCTTCTCACAGAAATAGCAGCAAACAGCTTCTAGGAATGTTCTGCTGTCTTGATGACTTCAAACTGAAAGAAGAAATAATATTTACAGATATATCAGGGTAACAATTAGAGGTGGTGGCTGTCTTTGCATAAACATTTGTGCCAGAAGTTTTATCAGGTCATTAGTAAGCTTTTATATTTAGAACCCAGATCAGTTGTCTGGCCTCCAAGTTTGTTTTGTATTTAGGCAAATGCATGCAACCATTTCACTTCAGCTTCCAGGAGAAATGATCCAAGCAAATTACTTTCTCTTCATGTGATTTTTAACCTAAATATCATAGCTAAACAGAAAAGTTATTTCCTCTGCTTTGGGCTGGCTTTATAGATATTTCTGCCATGCCTCGTGGGACACCTTTGTATGGACAGCCAGCCTGGTGGGGTGAAGATGAAGCTGATGAAAAAGGTGGTTGTAAGCCAGAAAGCAAGCATGAAGAAAAAATGCCTGAGACAGGGGCTTCAGGTAAGTGTGTTGTCTTATTTCTTGGCTTTTCTCCTCTTTACTGAACTGCATATATTCTTAAATAGGGAACTAAACAGATGTTTGGAAGTTTCCCAGTTTGTGTAGATGAAAGCCTATTAAAAGGTAAGGTAGTTGAAGAATATATTTTTGTGAGAAACTGTGCATTTACAGATTTGGACTATTATAAAGAAATCGGTTTCACATATAATGTGTCAGTTTTCTAGTATATAACACAATTTTCTACCAGTAAGTATAGCAAATAACATTACCTGAACCAGTGTGTCCTTTTTTCAGTTTAATCCATATCTGTAATTTTATATATGCAGGAGTATTTTATTGAAATAATTTCTGGAAAAAATTGTGGCTTTTTACATTTATGTCTGACTTTTAGCTATATGAGGTTATCTGTACTAGAGAAGCAGTCTCTTCTGTAATTCAATAATGCTGTATTAGTGAGAATTGCATGTCATAGTTCTTGAAGTAAAGATTTGTGTAGTCTAAATGGTAATGTTTATTCCCCTGTAATACAGACCTTTTTATTAGTTAGCTTGTCTAGACACAGTATGTATTGCCAGAACTTCAATCTCAGTACCTATAATTAGGCTTTTATATCTATCGTCAGGCATATAAATAAAGTCACTGCTATTCTAATAAAGACAGTAACTTAAAACTTATTCAAGTTAGCACAAAATTCAGCCATGTTTATTTAGCACTTTAGACACCCATTTAAGGTCCAACAGTTTTAAGTTGGCAGTTTTTTTAATTCTGACCTTAAATTGAGGTCAGAATTTCTCTTTTCCTGTCATAGTACTTCCCTTGGTTAACATGAATTGTATTTTGTAGGAGCTGGAGTGAAGTCTAAAAATGTGTAAATCAAACTAAATGAATACTTCAGTGTAGTGAAGACAAGATCTCTGAAATTAACTTTTTACCATGGCCTTTTTAATGACCTCTTTCATATTATTCTAAAGTTGTCATCATTCAGGCAGTAGAGTAAGTCTGTTAAGATTTGGACTATTGTAAAGAAACCAGATAAAAAAACATTTAAATTAGTTTTCCCTCATTAAATATAGGATTATTGAAAAGTGATATGCTGAAGTCTGTGTTTTTGATGCAATGCCATGCCATTAACAAGGTGACACAAGATGCCAGCTTCTATTTAGTGTAATGTGTCTGTTCTTATTTTTTATAATTTTAGATTGCTTTTTCAGAAGTGTCAAATTGCATCAAATGGTTTACATGCTCTTGTATTCATTTTATCAAGAGATTTTTCAGCAAATAATCAGTGCTTCTATCTTTGTTCCTCAGCTCCAAGAAAAATAAGATTCCAACTTTCACTCAAACTAATCACGGAGATGCCATCTGTTTCAGTAGTAGGCAAAAATAAGTTTGTTCTAGACTGAACTTCAGTAATGGGGATATTTTTGACATTATTTGCTTAGTGAAGTCATCATGAAGTAAATGATTAATAGAGAAAATAGATTAATATTTTTCTAAATTATTTAAATTTGTTTGTTTGTTTTCAATATATATACTATACAAAACCTAAATTTGGGCACAAAGCCTTCTTGGCAAATAAAACATTTTGTCCTTTTTTTAAAAAAAATAAATTAAAAAACCCTTTTATTTGTGTTGCTGCTTTTGTTTAGCCATGAATGTATGTCCTATGAATAGTATTGATCTAACAAGAGTGTAAGAATAGCTTTTATTTCCTCAAACTTAAAGACTCATAAATCTGCAGGAGTGGAATTCAGTTTGAAAAAGCACATACTAAACAAAAGTCTATGTGAATGGAAGGCACTGCAGAGAAAAATCCAAAACCTGACATTTTTCAGAACCATTTCATTTGTGAGGATGTAGAATTAAAATCCTGTGTATGCACAAATTATTTCTTTACTGTGATCACCTAATCTCTGAGCAGACATTAATTGTTGGTTCTGCTGGTGTGGTTTTTGACTGTTGTAGATGATTTTTAGTAGTGTTGGCAGAGAGTCTGAAAAGACAAACCATATAAGAGTTGACATTTGCTTCTGTGGTCACTTCTGCAGTCTCAGAACACTGTGTCTGTGTAGAGGTGTGCAAAAGACATTCTGAATGTTTTCATGCAATTATTAAATCATAAGATTTTTGGGCTGCTTTGGCCTACAGTTCTGTTCTATGAAAAGATGAGCTTCTTTTCAACAACTTATTAAGTATCTTCCTCAAGCACTTAGGTTTTATGATATAGATGAATATAATTTTAGGAAATCAATATAAAGATGCACTTGTATGAAGGAAAATTGGAAACTTCAGAAGATTGTCATGCTTGGATATTTTTAAAATCTAAGCAAACTTTATTTAAAATGTTCTAGATTGGTGCAGCTAATTATTCATGGGTTAAATTGTATTAAGTGTTTAAAACATTGATCTGGGACATGCTTTTTAATATAAACTGCCTAAAAGTAAGTACATTACAGGTGAATTCATAAACCAAATCGATAAGTCAGATAACATTTTATCAAAGTAATCCTATTAAAAATCTTGTCATCCTCATTAAAAATCTTGTGTCATGCTTTAATGATTTATTGCATGATTATTTACTGAATAGAAAAGAAGACTTGAATTCTAAGAGAGGGGGTAAGGTTTAATGAGGAGATTGAAGTGGGAGATTTATTTCTGTTAAGCCAACTATAGACAATTACTCTTTACAGTCTCAAGTTAATAAGATTATTTCAATGTTACTGTATTTCTATCACAACAGAAATTCACTAAGGAAAGTTATTTACAAACAGAGCAGAATGGCCTGGAAAGCTTTGAAAAGAAAAATCCTTTCTACATTTTTCAGACATATGTAATGCTCTAATGCAATGATCCATAGATCTACTAGTCTGTATTAAAATGAGCACTAGTGTGTACACCTCTGGCATGACTTTATGCTGCAGCTGTTAAATGTCCATGTTATTGGCAGGTTTATTGGGTGTGTAATTATTATTACTGCCATATGTTACACTCTCACTTCCTGGGATAATGAAAACTGCATTCTCTGCTGATCTTACTTGTAGTTGTAGAATTTTATGTCAGTAATGCCTTTACCAGAAATCTAAGAAAAGACAGGAATAAGTTTTTAAGATGACTTCAGGAATCTGAAGTAATTCTTTCCACTTGGCATGAATTTTAATTCCAGCATTGCATAAGAATATGTCAGATTAAACATTCCTTGCACTTAAGAAACAATGTCATTTTCAGGTAAAGGAGGCTGACAATTATTTGAGAAATACCAGTGTAGTCAGTGTGTGCAGGAGTTTACACACATTGTAATGTGTGATGCTTAACCAGCAGTATTAGCAGTTAAGCTCCTAGAAGTTTGTTCTAGAATTTTGATGAGTTTTGTCATTAAATATGTGCAAGTGGTGCATATAAGGCTTGCTTTGCAAAGCTCTAGCAGCAGATGTGCACAGTATGTCATGGGGAGCTTACAGAACTCTAAAGACCCATCACAGCAATATATTTAAGTAAGATTAGTTTTGTCCTTTTTTTCACTTAAGCTCCTTTAAAGCAGGTAGTTAAATGATTTATTACGAGACATGGGGATTTATATACAGTGCTGGTTTATATTTCTATTTTGAAAGAGCAATTCTGATATTTTTTTCATAAGCCTGGTTATGAAAACATTAAAAGACAAAAATCTTCATATTCAATACTAGGTGAATCAAATGTATTTATTGAAATCTTGTCTCTAAATAAAAAGTGAAAAATTTACTTCGGCTGCAAAGTGAAAAACCCCAAAATATGAAAACATAAATGGGAAATAAAAAGTAGGAATATGAAGAGAAAAGGGAAGGAAAAAAAAGAAATTCTGTTAAGTATTTGAAAACACTAAATTCAGCTTCTTTTATTACACATACCATTGCACAGTGCCAAATATAAAGCTAGCATTAAAAACATTTTGGGGTATTGTGTAAATATGATATTTTGGCTGTTTCTTATACCTACTTCAAATAAGTATATTGGTTCTGGTTTACAGAATTTTTTTACAGGAAGTGTTTTGTAAGTTCCAGATAATTTTCTTTTGCAACTTTCATTCTTAAATTTGTATTTTTAAGGCAGAAAGAAAAGAGAATTACTAAAAATCTGACGATGGTGCAAAATATTTTCTGAGATTTCCTGTCATTGTAGATGATGATATATTAATATACAGAGGCAGTTTTTTTGCACATTTGAATAGCACTGACACCTATGATTTTTCTTGTCCAGGTAGTAAAATGTTAAAATTCTGACTACTTGTGTGTGTAACTTGAGAAATAAGACTTAAAAAAAACCAGAAAGTTCCAGAAAGTGTAGTTGATTCTGCTAATGTCTCAAAGTGAATGTTGCATTTCTGATGGTCCTATCGGAATGGAATGGAATGGAATGGAATGGAATGGAATGGAATGGAATGGAATAGAATAGAATAGAATAGAATAGAATAGAATAGAATAGAATAGAATAGAATAGAATAGAATAGAATAGAATAGAATAGAAATCACTGAGGTTGGAAGATACCTTCCAGATCATCCAGTTGAACCATCCACTCAGCACTGTCACCCCTAAACCATCACCCAGGCCCACATCCAGATGCCTCATGCACATGTCCAGGGATGGTGACTCCACCATATCCCTTGGCAATCTATTCCAATGCCTGACCACCCTGGCAGTGAAAAAGTTTTTTTCTAGTGTCTAATCTGAATCTCCCTTGTCTCATTTTAAAGCTGTTTCCTCTGGTCCTCTCACTGCAGGTGCTGTTCCTCTCTTCCAGACTAAGCAAACCCAACTCCCTCAGTCATTCCTCACAAGACGTACCCCAGTAAAGATCTTTTTGTATCTCCCTTTGGTTAAGCCTGTGGTTTCCCAAATATTCCATAGTTTCACTCCTAGCCTCCCCTAGACTTGTTTCAATATTAGTATCACTACACCTGGGTGGCAGCTACCAATTATTGATTGCTTTGTAAAAACAGTTGCTCAGTTGTCTTTTGTCACTCAGGATCTTTGAACAGTGAGAGCTCCCTTTCTACAGATAATCCTGCTACTTTTTCTGTCCCTTTCCTTTTAGTCTTGCCAGTTATGAAATCCCTTCAGTCCCTGAAGAGATTAACATTCACAACCTACCCATCTCTTCAGTTTCCCAAAACTCACTTGCAATTGCCTTTCTTGCTATACATATACTATGATTGCTCTGGTTTAAAAATTATAGAGCAGACAACCACTATCTTCAGTATTTGCTAGAAGGTTTTTTCTTAAAGGTGTCTGTATTTAGTATGATGTATTATTTCCTTCATCTTGACAGATGACTTTTTATAGTAGGATTCCACAGGTAAGGCTGTTTTGTAGATCACTCTTTGTAATAATTAGAGAGCTGTAAGGACTTGCATTTAGAGCCTGTGAGAAAAATATTGAAGGGTGGTTCAGATCAGGATCTATATTAATTTTTTGCTTCACATTTTCTATTTCTTATTCTAATCAATTCTGATGCATTTAACTTTCCTAAAAATGCACTTCTGTGTACTAAAAAAGTACTTCTGTAGATTTTATCTGTGTTTTTGGAACACTTCTGTGTTCTAAAAAATACTTCTGACTGAAAATAGGATTTTTGTGTAACTAAAATTAACTTATACTTTGGATATTTTTATTTATATAATTGTTAAATTTTTTTTCTAGTTTAGTAAAATTTACTATTTAGTTATAGTTCAGGGTCTTGTTTCTTTTGATTAAACTCTGTCTTAATTTAGATTCAAACTATATACTAGCATCTGTTATTCAAAAATATTGGAATCAAATACTCTGCATATTATTATCGTATAAACTTCATTTGAAATATTAAATTTGGTTTAGACAAGTTTCATGCAATTTTTTTTTATTAAGTCCTTCTTCAATGCTGGCAAACCAGTGTGAGACATCCTTTCGTTGCTGTACATCTTGTGCAATTTGCCTACAGTCTTATTATTTTCAAAATATAGTAATAAAACTGGTATTTCATAATTCCTTAAAAATACTGTGTCTTGTGCGACGAGCAGAATGGTCCTGCCTTGCCCAAAATTAGAAATATTTCTCAACGCAGAGTATTAGCCAGTTATCTTCTTTGAATGAGTGTTGAACACTATATCTGGCTTAATTATTGGCTACAGGAATTGCATGATGTTGTTGACTTGAAGTTCTGAGCAGAACCACGTGGGGGAAAAAAGGTTGTCTATGAATTGTCTGTGTGGTGGATTACTCTCCTTTTTGGTGACCGTATTTCATATTGTAAGGATCCAAGCTCTAGGTTTGATCCTGCCAGAGCTTGATCCTTTCCAGCATGTTAGCTACATGAAACAAAAGGAGAGTGATGGTAGTTTACCTGAAATCTAGGACTTGCAAAGTGTGATTTTGTTTATTTCTGTACATTTTCTGTATAAACAGGGAAGATTTTTAATAACCTTTGCATCAGTAAAACAGATTCATTTTGTATTGTGTGTCTGCTGGAATAAGTGTTTTCAGGAATGGTATTAAAAAGGCATTCTGTTTCCCAGGGAGGGGAGAAGTGAGGTGCTGTTGTAGTACCTGAAAACACCCTCACAGACATCAGGTAGCTGATAATGCAATGAAAAGCATTAGCTAGGGGATTCTTGGAATCCAGCAGCACAATAATAAAATCTGTCTGAATTGTGAACATGTTTTGTGTTTGTAACAGCTACTGGTGGAAAAAACAAAATTTAAACTGCTTTGTTGCCTGTATTGGAGTAATTTTATCCAATGGCTATCCAAACAAGGCAATAACATGTTTTCATTCAATAACACCTTTTTGTTTTGCTTTTCCATGTATTATTCTTTCCTTTAGTTTATTTCTCTGTATCACACTACTTTTTTTTTTTTTTTTTTTTTAATTTTTAACCTTTTCATAAATCCTCTCAAGAAACGTGCTTGTGAGGAGCAGCACAGGTGCATTATTCTATCCTGCATCCTTTACCCCTTTAAATTCCTGACTTCAGTATAAATGGTTCTATTGCTATCTTATTGCATAATAGTTTCATATACAAATACTAAGTTCCTCATCTGATGTAGGGTTGGTTTTTTCAGTATCTAAAATCAATTAGTTGCAGTCTTAATTCTTTACTTGGCAACTGAAATGATATCTTAACCATCTTAATGTGGTCCATGACAAATTGCTTTGGAAATATTCAGAATTCTTTTGCTGGAATCTAAGTTGCCATTGCTACTAAGGTCTCAAGCTTCTGTTTCTTTTAGCACATCTCTGCACCAGGTATTTTGGCTGACTTAGCAGTTGATAAAATGCAATTAGAAGGTTTGTTTTCTTAAAGGCATGTTGGTACCTTTGCTGCAACCACAGGAAGCTTTACCCTTCATTTAGGCTATGCAGTGGAACTTGGAATTACTACCCTGTGCTTTTTATATTTTCTGCTTTTTTTAGCCAGTTGAGAGCATGGCTTCCTAACATTCTGCATGCTTCCAGCTATTGTTCCTTTTTCTGTTCATCTATATGCTATGGCAACAAGTAAAATAGGAGGACATGACAATAGGATTTAGCTTGATTCTTTGGTTTTATCTTTTGTAGAAACATAAAGTCTTTGAATTCCGAAACACTTTCCAGTGCTTAGCAGTGTTTAACTTTTCAAGCCAGAATTAATGTTTATCTTGCATTAACGTGTGAATTGTTTTTCTGAAGAATTTGGCCAAACAAAATTATGCTTTCTATCCACTGCAGGAGATGGAAGATCATTAGCACTTGTTTTGGGAGCACCCTGATTTGATGTTTTTTCCAATAGATTGGAATTGGGATAGTGATCATCTCAACAAATTTGCCATTGTGATTTACCCATTCCAATAACTCATCTGACCTTTTCATCTTCTAAAAATATTTTGCATGCACTTTGACAAATTTTAAGTGAGCTTTTGCCACTTTACACTTGTCAACAACTGAAGTTCAAATTGCCTTTTCATTAATACTTTTCATATGTAATTTTGGAACTAGTTTTCCAGAACTATGGTGCTCAGTCTACTCCACAATCTTAGTGTTTATTCCAGAAATTACTCAAGTGGCCTTTACTGGAGTTCAGAAACTTCTTGAAGAGCCTGAAGTTCCCAAGTATTGTAAAATCTTTTTTTTTAATTTTTCCTAATAGGATGCAGCACAGATGCCAAACAATCTGAGGAGCAATCTGCATCAGCAAGTGAAGAACTTTATCCTTTCTGCAGGGAGCCCAGTTATTTTGAAATCCCTACTAAAGAATGCCAGCAAGCTTCACAGGTAGCAGAGAGCACTATTCACGAAATTCCCACAAAAGATACCCAAAGCTCCCACGCGGCAGCTTCGGGGCACGCTTCCTTTACCATTGAATTTGATGACAACACTCCAGGAAAAGTGAAGATCAAGGATCATGTGACAAAGTTCACGTCGGAGCAGCGTCACAAGTCGAAGAAGCCTTCGTCCTGCAGCGGCCAGGACCTGCCAGGGCTGCAGACGGTGATGATGGCAGCTGAGAGCAAAGTGGCAGATTGGCTCGCACAGAACAACCCTCCGAGAATGATATGGGAGCCAACGGAGGAGGACTCCAAAAGTATCAAGAGTGATGTTCCAGTGTACCTGAAGAGGCTGAAAGGTAAAGTCAATAGTTCCAGCTATGCTTAGCTCTGAAAGCAGCAATTCCTCGCCGGCACGCGGTCAGAGGAACCCTGAGCCCACGCGGAGTTCAGGTCAAACACAGATTGTCCACACGTACGCAAGGATCTGGGCTGGGAAATTGTATTGCTGAATTAAGTCTTACAAAGGGCATAAGAAATCAAATGCTGAATCATTTTACAATCAATATGCTAATTGGAGATGTTCCAGTGTGGCTGAAAACATCAGGTCTTGAAAAAGAAAAGGAAAAAATCCAACATTTAGTTAAACTTTATATATCTCACTTTTTCTCATTAAGTACTTTAAAAACATGGATTGCTTTTTAGAATCAAAGCTCTGAAGTTCAATTTATGCTTTTAGCAACTCTTTCAGTAGTATGTCTTCTGTGACTATTTGTATGTTCTAAGAAAATCATTTAGAACAAAGAATACATCATTTACTCATTCTGCTTATATGGATCATGTTTGGTAGAGTCAAGTTGGAGTCAGGAATCAGACCTAAAGCAAGCGTTTCAATTTTTATACTCACCTTGTGGACTGTTGTATTCATATGAGTGCTGCTGTTGAATGGAGTTCCAGCTGATCATACATGTTAATTTATTGCAGACAGTGACATTTGGAATGGAATGAAATTAAATAAAATGTTACACACGACAAGTGTACCTTCTCTTGAGTGTCACTTAACAGAATAGAGAAGCAGATAGTCTTGAAGATGTCCAGTACCATTCAAACTTGTATAAGGAAAACTTCTGATGAACTTTTTCAAGTCTCTCTTTTTTTCCATTTTTAATTTCAGCTGCTTAACCCTACAATTCTCATTTTCCTTGGCTCTGCAACATTATCATGTCTAGTTTGTAAACCAGCTGGCACTGGGTACAACATCCTTTGCCTTATTGATCAAAAGTCTGCTTTTTAAGGTTGTCCCTTTCAAATTAGGCTTAAATAAAATTCTGAAAGCAGAATTAGGTTAATGTGCTGGCATAAAGATAATAATATATTATTTCTTCCAGTGTAAATCACATTCTTTGGCCTTCATGTAAATATATTATATTCATGAATATTCTTTAATATACTAGCTGTGACACTTTGATAAATAGAAGGGGCTTTGTTTATAAGCCTTTTCCTGACAGAAACTCCACAAAGTCTGATTAATTTTATTCTGAAAGAGGTATAAGTTATGGGATGCATATGGCCATAATAAATATCTGAATTTTGTAATCTTCTATGGCCTGTTTGTATTCTCAGTCATTAGTTTTATTTTTAGATAGTAAATATACGTAGGTGCTTTGAAAGTTCGATTTTTTTAGAAAACTCCAAGCTTTTTTTTTCTCCTCAGCTTTTTCTTATAGTATTCTGTACTGAAGTCCCACTGCTAAAATTAGACTATATGACTTTCACTGTGATGTTGCTACTGCTTTCTTATTATTTGGAAACATCAATAATCACAGAATTTTTGTAGGCATTATTCTAACAAGTAGAAAACAGGAATATAAGTTGGGATTTCAGCTGTGTCTTCAGTTGTGTTAGTCTGATAAGTAAGATTAGCCAATATGTAATTACTGTTTAACTGAATAGTAGCTGCATATCCTAACTATTTAAATGAGAAAACCTTAAAAAAGCTGACCTCTTGAGAATCAAAAATACAGAAATTGGACATTATATATATATGTAAAAGCAGAATTGAATCTAAAAGAGTTCAGAGAGGATGAAAGTGTTCCTTCCCAGCTACTGAGCTAAAACTTAGGAGCATTGACACTTCCATTGTACATGAGGTTGCTCTGTGTTAAATACACTTACTATGTGTAAGTATCCAGCCTTCATACATTTTCAGGTATCATTGCAAAGTACCTCTTTAGGTGTATGTATGATTTATGAAATATGTAATCCTTATTCATAGATCTCAGACTAGTTCATGGAATGAATAAGTAATAACAACCATTTTACTTGCACACATCAGATGCTGAGCAGAGTGAATTATGGAAAAACTCATTGCTCTTCTTGGAAAAAGTAATAAAGAATTCAATCCAAGTTTAAGTAGACATTTCTCATGATAAAGTGTTGTAAATGTGAGAGGAATCCAGCAATATGAACTGTGGCTCTCTTTCCACTGTCAGAAGGACTTTATTAAGATTTTATTTTTCCTCTTAACCCTGCCTGGAATGTGTCAGTAGTCATTTGTAATCAACTGGCTCTGTAACAATACTGATAGAATTCAAAAACATACTATAGTACAGCTGGTAAAATACTGGCTTTTATATGTCACTGGTAAGTATTCACAGATGAGAATACTGGGGAAAGGATACTTCAAATTCACTGCTGTTACTGATCAGCTTTGAAAATGTTTCCTTGTTTGACTTGTAGCAAGTTGATTGCATTTCCAGGAACTGTACCAAATTTGCAGAGCCATGTCTATAAGCTGTTGGAGTTTAAACAGAAATCCACTTTGAAATAATTTCCTTCCTAGTTTGCTGCTTGGCTTTTTTTGTTGATGTAATGTTGTGGTCTTTCTTTGTTTCACTGTGCTATATATTGTTTTGCTTTGCTTGTAGGGAATAAGCATGATGATGGCACACAAAGTGATTCAGAAAATATTGGTGCACACCGGCACTACAGTAAACGGGCTGCACTTGAAGAACACTTAAGGCATCATCATACAGAGCTGAAAAAGTCCCACCAGAAAGTCCATTCCACAGAAAAGCAGCAAGAGCAAGCTGGTTTGAGTCAGACTGCCTTTATGATTGAGTTTTTTGATGAAGACCATCCTCGCAAGAGACGTTCTTACTCTTTTTCTCAGAATGTAGGAGCTCTGTGCCCAGAATCTCCATCTCCCACATCTCACGCACGAGCTGAAAGAGTGAAACCTGCATCAGGAGAGAAAGCCCCTTCACCTGTGCAAGCTGGCTCATCACATCACAGAGCAGTACATGGTGTTCATGCCAAACTTCTAAACCAGAAATCAGAAGAACCCTCTGCTGCGTTACCTGCCTTACAAGCTGCGTTGTTAAGGAGTTCAGGAAGCCTTGGCCATAGGCCTACTCAGAACCAGGAGATGGACAAAAAGTTGAAGAGCCAACATATTTCTGCTGCTACTGAAAAGGACAATGAGGATGACCAGAGTGACAAAGGTACTTACACTATTGAGTTGGAAAATCCCAATCCTGAAGAAGTGGAAGCCCGCAAAATGATTGACAAGGTGAGAAACCTGAAATGCATTCTGATCTTAAAAGTGTTATTGGATGTGTGGGCAGCTCTGTATCCCTTCAGTTCTGCTTATTAAAACTGCTGCAATAACACAAGTTTTTAAACCTGTCTATAATGTTGAAATATAAAATGTTGTAAGAGCAGCGGCAGGCATTTGGCTAAACATTATTCCTTCTTGCATACTGCTGTTGTCTTCAAGTTTGGTAGTTTAAATATGTTTCCAAACGATTTCAGTACCATGCACAAAAAATCATTTAACCATAAAAAATACCAGGCACCAAAAAATCATGTAACTGGTACTTTTATCAGGATGGTTTGTATTCTTGTGGAAATACTCACTTGTTCTTGAAAACCTCTTGTTTCTAGTTTTCATTACATAAATTGGTTCCATTCAAATTATCATATAGATACAGATTGCAAATGTTTTCTGTACTTATTAAAAAAGTATATTCAGTAACAGTAACTTAATTTCAGTGTCAGCTGTAAAGAGTAAGTAAGAAAATGCTTTGATTTTCCAAAAGTGTTTATATGATAGCAGTGTAAATTTCCTAGTTTGCTTATTGGTAACCATAGAAATATCAATAACAATACAAATTGTATTTGCAGTTTAAAAACTGTGTTAAATAACTATTCTTTGGATTCAACAGGAAAATATGGGTAGCAGAAGGCTATGTTTAATAATTTTGTTTAACATGACTTGAAATGGACTTTTTCTGCTTTTGTTGTGTTTTCCTAGATAATATATCATTGTAGAATGCCTGCATCCAATTCTAGGCGAGGGTTTTGCTAATTTACAGTAAACTCACTGTTTAGAATTATCTAAGGATTCATTTGCATGTCTAAAACTTTTCAGAGCTAAACAAATACATTAATACATTCAGAATTAATTTTGGTTAGTGTTGAAAACTGTGTTTTGCAAGACAAGCTAGATTCACTTGTTTGATTTTGTAAAAAAAATCTGAAGTAGTGGGGAAGTGGAACATTGCATTATAGATTATTTTCTTTTAAAAAAGGTGTTTATGAGCATTTGGAGACAGGGATTAAAGTAAAGGGTGTCACCTTCAATAAAATAATAATAATAATAATAATTTCACCTCTTCAGATTCTGAAAAGGAAATTTTTTACTTCTTTGAAATAATGTTCAAAAGACAACTGGGAACTAAAAGCATTCTGAATGAAGCAAGTAAATATTAAGGAACTACAAATTTCTACATCTATTCTTAAATTATAAATCTTCAACTAAATGGCATCAGAAAATTTGTAAGTCAAGTTTTAGCTAAATCTAGTAGTTCAACATGCCAAGTAATAACATTTGAAAATAGGCAATTTCTGTACTTGATAAAAATGTTAATACTGTCTAATATTTATAATCAGAGAATGTGCTGAGTTGGAAGGGATTCATTAGGATCATTGAGTCAAACTCTCAGCCCTACACAGGACATTCCAAGAATCACACCCTGTGATTCTGAGAGAGTTAATAAAATTTCAACTTTTTTGTGGCCTTCAGTACCCGTTCAGATTATCTAAAGTCAGTTTTTTGTTTGAATCAAGTATCTCCTGCTAAAGGACAGATTCAGGAAGAGGAAGTAAATGGAAGCCTTAAGAATGATAGTAAAGTATTGCTTAATAATCTTAGTGTTATATAAAAGCTTTTGGGTATCATAAATTTCCTTTACTGCTAACTTTAAAGGTGTCACCACTACGTATTAAAGATTTACTATGAAGTAAAGCAGAGATATTTTCTCTTCAAGGTCTTCTGTATCATTTCACTTAGTATCTGTGTTGAAATCTTATGAACACTATATTTTACATCCAGTTCAAAGAGCCCTGCTATGCAATTCTTATTTGATTTGGTAATATGAAGTAGTATGATACTATTTTTATGAAGTGCAGAAAAACAGCCAATGAAGAAAATCTAAACCAAATGGAAGCCAAAAATTTTGTCCTCCAGCTGAGCTCAGCTTTGCTTCCTTCCTATTTTAAATTGCTAATGCTTTGGATAATCTTACTTTACCAAAGGGGGATAAGTGAGGTATAAGACAAGGACTTTGTAAGCCTGTTGACTCCTGTGCTTCTTTATTGAGGATTTAAGAGAATTATTGGTATACATCTTATCAATTATTTCAGTATAACCACTCTTTCATTGTTGGCAAGTCAGTCCTTTTTCTGAGTAGTTACTATGCCTGCTCAACTGAGTCATTTAAGGGTGTCTCTTGGGTCCAAACTTTAATTGAAATTCAAGAGTTTACTTTGCTAGTATTGGGATGAAAATGCACTACAAATAGCAAGGATCACTTTCTAAAACATTTGCACAATAATGCATTCTTCTGAGTAGCAATTTACATTAGAATGGTGCTAAAATCTGCGTGTGGTTTACCTGAAAAAATTTCAGTGAAACTAAGTACTTCTGGGTGTGGATATATTCTCCCTTTTATTGGAGGAAAGGATGAGAATGACCAAAATATCCCAAAATTACTCTCAAGTGTGACTCAGTCTTAGTCTTACTGTTCTCTGGTAAGGAGCATAAGAGCAAACCACAGTTGCAAAAGTAGTATTAACTTGTAAAAAATCAAGGTGAGATTATTAATGCTTCTTTACATTAAGAATCCAAGAGAAACATGCAGTAAGTCAAAGTTAAAATTCTCAGAAAAAAAAATTGAAAACACCCATCTCTCTGTGTAATTCTAAGAAAAGGGGAGTAAAAATCTTAATGTTGAGCTGTATTACTTCCTTCAAAAGTACTATTTTTGCTTAGTGTAGCCTTTTGCTAAAGATTGAAGGAAATAATCTCAAGAAGAATAGATGCTTGTGTGAAACTATTTTAAAAAGCCAGAAACTATGCTGTCCTGCTTATTCAGCATCTTTATTTCATTTAGATTGCTAAGGATCCAGTTCTTCCTCTGGTGCTTTTCAGCCTCTAAGAAAAAAGTATTGTCACTATAGCAGAAAAGGAGCAGAATAGCAAATGACAGAACCTTTGTTTCTCAACCATTTTAAAGCCTGACTTTTGAGATGAGAATGTGAGGAAAATGCATTATCAGAAAGAAAGAGGATAACAGTTCATAAGTAACAGACAAAAGCTTTTTAATTTCAATTCTTTTCCCTAACAGAGAGGAGTAATCATATATCTGCAGTCATGACTGTCTTGGGGTGAATGTCTTCTACTTACCTAAAGTACAAGTTTTCAAATATATTATTGCTTGTGTCTTATACAACTTTTGAAGATTTTTTAAAAAAAGATTCTATTTTAAGTTTAAGAAATACAGTACATATGCACATAGTTTTCAATTGTAAATGTTAAAAGAAGATGCAAGTCAAAATTTATGGTTGTGTCTTAATGTTCTTTATGAATAGAGGGTACTAAATTTTGCTTCCTAAAAGTCCTTTCATTAGTCAATGATATTTCTGCATCCAGGTGTTCAAATGTCACTTAAATTCATAGAGCAGTATGAATTGGTTAGTAGGCTAAGGTTTAGAAAATAAATATATTAATAACAGGAGAAAAATAGATGATAGATCTCTTTTTATACTTGTAGAGCTCTTTTTTGAATTGCCACTGAGAGCAATTTCATCAATGTGGTAAGAAAGCAAGCTGCTCTTGTATGCCACAAAGCCCACCTTGAACATATGTGTCATAAAATATCCTCTACTCAAATAGCATCAGAAAGACACAACTTTTTTCTAGCAGAATAATGGTCTTATTGTTGCAGCTAACAGCTAAGTACAAAATGAAATAAATTCAGGATCTTGATTTAATTTAGAACATGTTTTCAGTGTTAAGTTTTCCATTTAAAATACATGAGTAAATGGGGCACAGTTGTAGGATTTGTTTTTCCTCTACATCCAGCCTTTATGCTCTTTAGATGGATTCAGTGCTTTCTTCTGTTAACACTTAGCAATTGCTTTCTTTTTATCTCTGAGTTGTAAATTTTCTATCCATTTTATGTTTTTTAAATAAATCAATCTATTAGAAGAAATGTTGTTCTCAGAAGTCATATCACATTAAAAAAATCTTCATAGGCCACAGAAAAGGTGAGTCTGCCAGTGGATGAAAGAATTTAAAATGATGCTTCTGCAGTTCATCTTCCTTTTTTGTAGATATAAAGAGACCAAATTATCATGCTAATGACTTTCCTTTTTCAATAAAGCAAAGTACTGCCAGTAATAAATATTAATAAATGAATGTGCAAATAATTCTGCATGTGTTTGGAATATTAAATACTTTGAGGCTATTGCAGTAAATAAAAAGCAACTCAATGGGGTTTTTGCGAGTTCTTTGGGGGTTTTCTTCATGGCTCTTTTTCTGTTTGTTTTATGTAGGGTTTTTTGTTGTCTTTCTTCTTCATTCAGTTTCATTTTAGGGTATTTAAAAATTGAAATATTTTATAAAACTTACTATAGCAGATGTAAGCTTTTCTATACGTGTGTGGGAAGGGATGGAATAGAATTGAGGCTATCTGAGGGTTTCAAGTCCTGTCAGATAACCAGGAAATCTGGAATGTTACAGCAGTTCATATACATATGGAAACATTTGGCTTTGGTCCCCAAATTTTTTGGCTTTGGTCCCCAAAATTTTGGTCCCCAAATTTTTTCTTGATTTATGTTATTTTCATTTACGTTTCCTAAAAGATAATTGATTTTTTCATCAGCATATAAATTTAGATCGCAAATTCAACTGATTCATACTGATTTCCAAACAGTAGACTTGAAAAAATGTATCAAAATCAAACCTCAATCCATCCTGCCACCTTCAGAAAGACTTACTGTGACCATGTAATGATATTGTTTTCAGTGCAAGCTCCATATTCTAGATGTTTTAAAGTCTTTATTTATGTAGATAGATGGGCCCTAGCAGTAATGATCTTGTTTTTTATGTGCAGTCTATCCCCTCGAATTTTATTTTATTACATACTGTGCAATGAGTTTACATAAAATCTTACTCTATTGACACAATCTTGAGAGAGATTCTTCTTTCCTCTTTAAAATTTTGGA